AAAAATAATTGACACGGCTGAAGCTGGAAGTTTAAATGAGTACTGCCAAGAGAAGATTAACTTGGGACTTCAAGCATATCATTGGTTATTTATTAGATTTAGCCCATAAAAAATCCGATTTATGATATATATGGTATGTGATTATGTATCGTACAGTCGACTCTGTATATAGCGATATGCATATTCTAGAAGATTTTGTTTAGTATAGAGTAAGTTCTATAAATTACTCTTTCTATAGAGAACTGCTCTATATATAAAGCCAACCAATAAAATCACACATAGCCGGCTTATTAAATGGCTTCGGAAAATCTCGGAATTTGCTCTCAACCTTATTCGCATTCATTTTCTTGCGGAATGTTTCGGGTAATGACTTCGTGGACATGCATATCCTATAACTAAATATGTATACATAGTCCTGGGCTAGTAAAAAAAAAGAGTTCGGATACGGTATATAAAGATTTACTATTTGAATTTAGTATAACCAACCTAATTTAATTATTACCCGATTTCGGTATAAGAGGTTCGGTACAGTGTTTCGGCCTAAACCTCCCCCCCAAAGTCCGAAACGGTTCGGCCTGGAGTTTCGGTTTCTCCCAAAATCCAAAACTTCCGAAATGACCGAAATTTCCGAAATGGCCGAAACTTCCGAAATGGTCGAAACCTTCAAAATATCCAAAATACCAAACCCAAAGCTTCCAAACCCTCCGTCTTTCGGACCTTTTACTCTCGTATTTTACGTTCATTGATTTTCTACTCGGAATATTTCGGAATGTTCACCCAATTTCGGAGGTTTAGGCCAGTAGCGCCCAATTTCGGAGGTTTCGGCCTGTTTCGCCCAATTTCGGAGGTTTCGGCCTGTTTCGCCCAATTTCGGAGGTTTCGGCCTGTTTCGCCTAGTATCGGATCAGGGACACGGAAAATTTCGAAAAGATTAGAAAACAATAAATCACAATTTTTATTGAATATCGCATTATAAAACAATTTTTCTATTTTTTTATGCATGTGAAGTTACACGACCAATATGATTGGTTGGCTATTTTAACCCACCAATCATATTGCTTGTTTGGTTGTGCAACTTCACGTGAAAAAAAGATTATAGTAATGCAAACGGGTAAAATTCACCACCCAAATTTATTTCAGATTACGTTATATTATGGTTTTAATGAGCATCATTTCATTACATCATTATAGGATGAAAATAATATTCGCTAAAATCATATCGTATGATCTGAAATAAATAAATTTGGGTGGTGAATTTTACCCGGTTTAGTAATACTATAGCAATCTTTTTCGTGTTGGTGAAATTTCAAATACGGATAGTTATTGAATTTTGTAATAACAGCTAATAATTGTCAGCAGATTAAATGCCATTATCAAGTATCTGCAAAAAATGCATGTCTATTGGACAAAAATAGAAATTAGACTCGTTATACTGTACTTTAATCAAATTTTTATATCGAAATAAAAAACAATTTTTACTGTTACCCAAAACAATATTTGCAAAATGATATCGAAATTTTTCCGTGTCCCTGTATCGGATGTAACGTTACGCTTATTTATGCATGTGTTTTTCACGTGATCCGAAAATTTTCGTATTTTATTTCGAAAGTATTGGAAGTTTCGCCAGTTTCGGAGTTTCAGAGGTATCTCCCAGTTTCGGAAGTCTCGGTAGTTTCGGATTTGGGACTTCTGGCGAAACTATATTTCGGCCGAAACACTGGTTCGGTATATCCAGAGTCGATTGCATTTGTACACTATAGTAACTTTTTTGTTTATTGACGTTATGGTAATAAAGGATATACCATGCGACGATGCGTGATTCAAAAAACATTATTGCATAATTTTCTCGTCTAATCATTGATTACCTTGGCTTTTAAATTTACCAAAAACGGAATGCACGGTTAAATAGTGTGTAAAATGGTGTGCATCTGATTAGATGAACTTTCTCATGAACTCGTCTTGGAATTTTCAAATATGTAGAGGATTAAATGCAAGTAACGTTGGATAATTATAAAATCATATGATTTCTGCATACTCTAAGAAAGAATTCCTTGACTTTCTATCGATTTAAATATAAAAAAAAAACTTATTTATTATCATGGCTTTTAAATTTGTAAAATGTGCATTTTATATCTTGCTTTACTACACAGTTTTACCTGTATCATCTATTTTTGGTTACTAATTTATTATCATATCGCATAAACTTTTCTATTTAAAATTTTGTTCGTAACCAGCACCAACTTTCTATTTTAAAATTCGTTCATAACGATAACCTGCATCAACTTTCTATATATTTAAAATTCGTTCATCTGTACGTTGATCTATTTACCCAACAACTTACATAATGATGATCTAAACATTTTCGACCAATAGGAATTCTTAAAATTTTCTAAAACTTCTAGTGAGGTTTCTTAATAGCTACTTGAAAAAAATAAAGTTTATTGATTTGGTTTAGTAGTTGTCAAGAAATAATTGCTAGAATTTTTTTAAAAAAGCATCTTGAAAAAAAAACTAAAATCGGGTAAATTTTCTTTCCTTAAATGAAGATTTCTCGACAACCGGTTGTTCGATTTTTTTCATAGATTAAAATAAAAAAAATTTTATCAAATCCAGATAGTTTGCTGTTGAGAAATCTTAATTTAATTTTAAAAAAAATTTGTTGCAAATTTCTTTTTCTTAAAATTTTTTTAAAAAATCTTTAACTGAAGTTTCTCAAAAAATTAACTATGCTAATGTGATGGAATTTTTTTATTTTAATTCTATAAACTTATAGAATTAAAATAAAAAATTTGATCGAATTTAGGGCTGGTTTTGAAAAATATTCGTCGAAAGTTTAAAAAAATTTTGATCGTGACCAAATTTTTTCAAATTTGATCAAATTTGCTCACATAATTAAAATAAAAATTTACCCAATGCTATTTTCCAATATTTTAAATTTTTTTAAAACTTTACAAAAAGTGCCAAATTTTTGATTTGCTTAAAATAATCCACTTAATAGTGCTGATAATGTAATATTAAATATAAAAATTTTGCCAAATAAGCATTTTAAGTATTTTATTGCTATAATTTAATTTTATAAGTATATTTGTCAATTATTATCTTTAAATATACTAATATTAGCAATATATTAGTACTAATAAAGTTCTAAAAATTACCAATATTTAACTAATATATTAGTTAGATGATAGTACATGTAATTAAGTAATTTTGTGTAAAGGGCTTTTAGCGAAGATTTCTTGACAATTACTAAACCAAAATTCAATGGCTTTTTTTTTTTATTTTAATTCTACAAAACTAAAGGATTAAATAAAAAAATTTTTACCGAATTTGATGAAGTAGTAATTGGGAAACCTTGCGTTAGAAATATTAAAAAATTTTGGCGACCCTATTGGGAAAGTTAAATTTTATTGGTCAAAAATGCTTAGATCGTAAGCTGTTAGTTAAAATAGTGTATGCCTCTCTTAACCCTGACATGAAAAAAAGGGCATTATTTGAATTAACGCATGACATAATACTAGTTACATGAAAAATAAACAAGTTTGTAACCAGTGGAATGACTTAGCTAACGAGTTGTCAAATTAGATCAGGGTTACAAACATAGATTATGCGTGATGGATGTTTATTAAGGATTCGGATTTAATGATAGTGGGTTATGAAGGAATGTATTAAGTTAGTAGGTAGGGTTAAGATACGTTACTGCTTAATTTATTATATAATATGCAGAATTTCTTCTCTTGTTAGTTTAAGTGTCATATTTATACATTTTAGCTTCAACCCCAAATATTGGGTTCAAACCACGATTTTAGGGTTCGAACTTAGATCTTATGTCTCAGACCCCGATCATTGGTCTCAAACCCATGCACAGCCACTTCATAACGAACCACTAAAACAAACAAGAAAAAAGACGTAAAAAAATTTGCTAAGCATTTATATATATCAATGTTACACGTAATCTATATATATAGGGTGATCATCACCATAGGTTTATTTTAAAATATTTAAAGTTAAAATTAGACTTTAGGTTAGGGTCCAAGTTAAAGTTAGAGGTTAGCGTTTTTTTTTTTTAGGGTGCTGAACATTTCTACTTAACACTTCAAAACTATCGTCTAATTTGTAAATAGTTTATTGCAAAGAACAATTATGATACCTTTTCAATACTAATTTATTTATTTTATTAAGGTTTGTTATTTTTAATTATATGAATTTAGTACATAATCGGGTGGGATTCGAAATTGTTGGGTGCGCAATTTTACCCCGGTCGATAATTAATAGTTAATAAAACATACCTGATGTACGTATCATAAAAATGGTTTCGCTTCGATTTTTATGTTACACATGATCTTGAAATTTGATTGGTCAAAATTAAGAAGAGACGATTTTTGTGAACGGCTTGTATTAAAGCTTGTACGTATCTGTTATGTACGTGCATACATATCGGTTATTAGAGATGGCAGGTTATTTGGTTTGATTATGGAACGTACAGTATATGTCTGTTTTGGTAGGATCGGTTAAAAGTTAGAATGTAATCATTTTAATAAATCATTTCCTTAAATAAAAAGTTTTAGGGCACTTATTTTTATAAAAGGTTTAGTCATTTTTTGTTAATTTTTTATTATTTGTAAAATTTTATTTTTATTTTTCAATTTTCTTCTATCATTCAGAATAATATACCTTCCTTTTCCGAAATCATAGAAACAAATTCTTTATTTATTCCGGATCGTTGCAGGATCCGAATTGCAGTTATGCCCGTGCCCTACTATATGATCAGCACCTAATTTGACAGTTTCTATTTTTAGTTCTGAGCTGGTTTATTTAAATATCTAGAATTTATAGCGAAATGGCGTCTGTCTTCAGCTTTTATTGGCACTTTCAAGGCATGATTTCATAGATATGCAGAAAAGCACGTGTGGATTGCTAGCAATTTATAATATAGCAAGCGGAAAGCGGATAAATATTAACGAGAAATCTATTCGCTTTATTATTACTTACAAACAATCAATATGAAAACAATTTACCTTGCAACATTCATACTTATTGCATTTATAAATATTGCTTATTCATATTGGATTCCACGTAATACGAATGTCAATGCGTGCGATAATATTATTAACTATGTTACTTATTCAGATGAGAAGTTTGTTAACTATTCTGATGTAAAGGCTTGTTATGAGTCGATTCCATATAATAAAACAAAGGCAACACAGGTAGATATTTATGTCTTTAAATGAATAAATGGATAAGTAAAGTATAAATGTATAAGATACAAGGATTAATGCTAATTAAAATTTATAATATCAGATAATAGAAGCTGTGAAAGAAAATTTTGAAGCATTTTATGTATTATTAGAGCAATCAAAAGAAGATCCAAATCCAGGATTTGCTTTTCGGTCTATGGATATAATACCTGAATTAGATTTGTTATTGAAGAATAATTATTTATACGAATATCAGTTCATAGTAAATATGCTTTAAATATACTGTATTTTATATTCAAAACATATTAATATACATTCTTATTATATATAGTATGATCTTGCAAATCTTATCGGAGAATTAAGAGATAGACATACCTGGTAATCTATTTTGATTATTAAAGAATTAATTACTACTGCAAAATATAATATTGAAATTTTTATATAATGCCACACAGGCTTACATCTACTGATTATCATCAATACATGTTTCATCAGGGATTATCTTTGTATTCCGTGATTAAAGAAGATGGCACACAGGTACGTGACGTCATACGTACGTACGAGGTTGTGATTCTTGAGATGTAACCACAAAAATGATCTACAGAAAGAATAATAATTAATTTATAATCAAATTTATTGTTTCTTTTTAGCAAATTAAAGTTTTTAATGACATAAAAGATTCTAGTACCATTGATTGTCAGGTTGTATATATAGACGACAAACCAGCGATTGATGTGATTACTGAGTTTGCCAGTAATAACACAGCATGGTCAAGAGATTTGAGTGTCCGATTTAATTCAGCTCTCGCATCTTTATATTTTGGGTATGGTGATTTTGGAATATATGGCCAATTATTTACACGTAGAAGTCAATTACCAAAAAATTCAAGTATTTCTTATACACTTAATTGTAATGATAAAATCACTAAAATTATTCGAGAATGGCAAATTCATATTAAAACTCTTCCGCAATATAAATCTCCATACATTAATGGCACTACAGTTGGTGATGCAAAGTTAATTTTTGATGCATTCATTGCCAGGTTTTATACATTACAAGACTTTGGTGTGGTCTTGATTTTAACTGAAGAAGTGGACGATGATGAGGACGATAATGTTCTTGAATATCATTATATAACTGATATAATTTTTGGATTAAAATTACTTGCTGATAAAGGTATAAAAAAGGTAATTCAAATGCAAATATCTAAGTGATTTTTACTATCACATACTTTAAATTTTAATATTATTTAAAAATGCTTGTTCCAGATTGTTTTGGATCTAAGTAACAATGGTGGCGGCAACATTGTTGTTGCACACATTATAAATAAGATTCTATTTCCTAACATTCAAAACTTTCCAGTAGATATGAAAGTCAATAATATTTCTATCCAATTAATAGAAGGAGTTTCAATGAACAAAAGCGAAATTGGAGATATATTTCATTATAAGTCATATATTTCTACAAAGACAAATTCCTCATTTAATAGTATTAATGACTTTATTGGAAATAATTCATATACACGTGGAGGTATTCAGCTTAAATACACCTCAAAAGCATTTTCTAATGATACAACATCGACTTTTGGAAGTTTAACACTTCCAACACCCCCAAAATTCCCTTGGAACGAGAAAGATTTTATAATTTTGACAAATGGACAGTGTATCTCATCATGTGCAATTTTAAGTCAACGATTAGCTGAAATTAATGTTTCTACCGTATCTGTTGGAGGGTTTCCAAACAGGCGATTTTCTTTCGCATCAACATCTGGCGGAGCTCAATTGACTACTAATTCATTTCAAAGTTATTTTAAACTGCTTAAAAATATTGATAACTCTTTAATCTCCAAATTGACTCTTCCTCAAAACTTAACTTTAAGTTTTACTGCATTTGAAGCTTATAGTGTTAATCATCCTAATGAAGTTTTGGATTTTTCTTTTAGACCTGCCGATTATCAATTATATTATGATGAACGGAGTGCTAGAGATCCAAGCAAATTATGGATACAGGCTGTGGAATTTATTAGATAAAATTTTGAATGCTGATGACTAATATAGAATTTTCGTTATTACATATTATCAACTTTTTTTTATCTTTCTTTTTATTTTATTATCTGTTATGAAAAAAGGAGTATTCATTAGTACTAAATCACATCTGTGGTGCTCAACACTAAATATATTTTTTAATAGGTTTACTAATAAAATTTAGGATTAGTGATTTTTTAAGTCAAAGATCTAAATCAGAGATAGGGTTAGGTTTTTGGATATGCAAATATATATTATTTAGCTAGTTTTTGAGATATAGCAACTATTATGTTGAACATCACGGATGTGATTCAGTAAACCGGATTTTATATACAGAAAATAAATTAAGCACGGACATTTGGACCAGTGTTATAAATTCAAAAAAAATTTATTGGCGCAAGCGCGTATTATATATAAATGATATGCGCGCAAACTTTAAAATCATGTTTAAAAATATGCGGAAAAAGTTTTTTATATATTTAAAGTAAAATTATAATACGCAAAGAGCGCCAATCATTTTCAACAAAATATGCGCAAATTTAAGTTTATGATTTACCCTAGGTGCCGCACAAAAAATGCGCGGCAGATCCTTGATTTTGATTGGCTAACGGTCGAAGATCTTCGAAATTTTGGTCCGCATTACAAAATTGTTTACTAAATTCCGGCCGGAATTAAGTTTTTAATTTTTTTATTACAAAAATAGAAATTTTTAAAAAATAAGCACGCATTATGGTAAAATTGACCCAGGAACAATTTT